AAATTCGAAGAGCATGTACAAAGGACTCCGAGTCTGGCGGGGCCTCGTTTGTCCTGTAGTGTCATGCTGATCTGGCATCAGTATTTACACGATTATTTTACATTTGGCACCACAGAATATACAAGGCTAATTTTTACCCCCCCCCCTCCCCTCCCTCAAAATCGCATACGCATGAACGCTGCCCCAGTTAACAGCACGGAGTGAAACCAACTGTCTTTTTCGAATGAATCAGCTGGAAAGGTCCTCGTCATAAACTTATATTTTTATCCATTTTCCTATTTTCCTTCTCCAGATGTAACCATATTTTCCCTATTTCTTTCCCTTTTGTAGATTCAAACGTTTCATCGCCTTCCATGGGCCTTGAGAAGATTAGCCTAGTGTTGATTTGTCTCTCTTCTGAAGCGGAAACTTCAGAAGGCAATCATAAATTTCACTTTCATGGAAACTTCGCACAACTCACTTGTTCTCTGCGTATTATCATTATTAGTAGCATTTTTAGAAAATGGAAATCTTCAAATCACATCACAGAACCTTGTTAACTTCCCCTTCGTCTTATCAAAGTTTTAAACCCGGATGCTGATTTCTATATACATGTATAACTCCATGATATATACAGGAAGCAAGAGCCGATGCTTGCGTCACTACACCATTGTGATGTTCCGCACCCTCTTCTCGGCGGCGAGGAGCGACGCGGGCGCGGGGGCTTCGTGGGCGTGGGCGTCGTAGATGTAGGGCTCGGGCGTGTAGACCAGCTTGGGCTTGGGGGGGATGGGGGGCGGCACCTTGGAGGAGGTGGAGGACCTGAGGGAGGCGTCGTAGGAGGGGTAGGCGGCGTAGGCCGGCGGGCCGTGCGAGGGTGGCAGCATTTCGCACGAGACGGACAGGAAGGATTCGGACGGCGGGGAGCTCACGTAGGGGCGCGCCTCCGCCGCCGCCGGGAAGCCCTCGCTCGGGTACAGGTCTGTGGGTGTGGTCGGGTAGCCCTCGGAGGGGGCGGGGTATCCGTCCGTGGGCGTCGGGTAGGCGTGGCCGGGCGGCGGGTAATGGTCGGAGGGCACGGGGTACTGGTCGGCGGGGCCCGGGTAGTGGCCGAGGAAGGCGTCGTGGCGGTACGGGTAAGCGCTCGTGTCGGCGTAGAAGTCGTTGGCGGCCGAGGAGTCGCCGTAGCTCTTCTTGGTGGAGGCGCTGTGGTCGGAGGCGTCGTCGGAGCGCGCCGACAGGCTGCCTCGCTTCGGGTCGTGGCGACTGCTGAGCAGCTGCGACGCCGACCACGACTCCACGGGGCTCATATAGTCCTTGCCAAGGGCGTCTTTGGCGGGGGCCTTGCCGCCGTCGGGGAAGTCCTGCGGCGGCCCCAGCTTGGTGGGCGTGGCCACTGCTACGGCGTAGGCCTCATGCACCTCGTGCGCCTTCTTGGCCTGCGCCGACTTCCGCTGGCGACGGTGGGCGGCCAGGCAGTAGCAGGCGACGAGCGCCACGAGGGCCACGAAGCCGCCCACGCAGCCGAACACCACGGCCAGCTGGCGCGTGTCCAGGGCCGCTAGCACTGGCTCGCCTGCGCCTCCCTCCCTCACGGCCGACGTGTTGGCGGGGGGCGCCGGGGGCTGCGAGGGCGGGGGCGCGGGCGTGGTGGAGGGCGGCGCGGGCACGAACACGCTCACGACGTTGCTGAGGGCGCCCGTGTTGCCCTGCTCGTCGACCGCATACAGCGCCACGTAGTGCACGACGCCGAAGTCCGGCCAGAGCAGAGTGTGCTGTTGCAGGGCGGGAGCGGGCAGGGGCGCTGGCCAGCCCTCCAGCAGGCGGCCGCCGCCCTCGCGGAGTTGGGCGGGGTCGCGGGACGCCATCACCACGTAGCGGTCGGCCACGCCGTAGTCCAGGTCGCCCCCCGGAGCCGTCCAGCTGAAGGCCACGCGGCCGCCGCTGCCTGCCAGGACGGACGCCCGCAGGTCCACCACGCGGGAGGGAGGAATGACGTCGAGGGCGGGGAGGACGCCTACCACATCCACGACGCCCAGACGCACGTGGCGAGTGAACACCTCACCCTCGACCTCGCCCTCCACGTCCACCCGCACGCTGTACTTGGCGGCAGCGAGGCCCGGCACGTAGCGGGAGTAGACGCCGTCCGCGCGCGCCATGTCAGGACCTGTAAAGGAAGGGAATGGTCAGCAGGGCCTGGTGGTGGGGAGGGAGACTAAGTGGAATGGGTCATGCTAGGAAAAGAACTGTCTTTGAAGATCTAGCTAATACCTAACTGGATACCATTATCCTAAATGAGCCCAAGGCATAGAAAAGAGGCTATACATACCTGTGAGACCGTTGTCGAGCAATATGACCTGGATCGGCTCATACTTGGTACCGTTGTCCGTGTAGCCGAGGCGGGTGACGGTGGCGGTGACCTTGGCGCCCTCGATGGGGGCCACGCCCACCCTCGCCTCGGCGAACAGCGCCAGGGGGCGCGAGATGTCGCTGGCGTTGACCAATGACAGCGGGTGGCTGGTCCAGGCGCGCACGGCCACATGAGGGGCACCTGTACGGGCGCGCGGGCGCGAGGTGACCTGCACGTAGAGCGCCTGGTGGGAGTCTGCTCTGTTCTCCACTTTGTAGTGCCACTGGCCTGCCGTGGCCTGTGCCTCCGCCAGCCTCACGGTGATCATGTTGATGTTAGCGTCCTCCTTCTGCATGTTGGCTGTGTCGATGACCTGCCCCTGCGGGCTGACCAGGTGGATAAGGTTGCCGACGTGGGTCACGTGGTAGTAGAAGATGGCGAAGACGGTGTCGGCGCCCAAGTGCGGGTCCAGCGCGAAGGTGCCCTGGGACACGGCCACGCGCCCCCCGGGGTGCTCCGCCGCGTGCACCTTCACCGGCAGGACGGAGGGGCCCGTCACGCCCGCCAGCGCCGTGTACAGAGAGTCCAGCAGGTTGTAGTACATGCTGAGCTTGGAGTCGGCGCCGATGCCCTGGTCGGGCACGATGTAGGTGCGGCCGCCGCTGAGCGCCGCCACGGTTTCCAGGCCGGCGCCCGGCGTCGGGTACTTCTCGATCAGCGGGTACACAATGGCGTGCAGCACGACGCCGGTCGCGGTCAGGGCGCGGGACGCCTCGTCGGAGCGAGCGGCGTCCAGGGGCTCCCCTCCCCCAGCAGTCACCAGTACTATATGACCTGCACCACTGCCTGTGTTGTCCTGCTCCAACATCCGCAGCGCCTCCCGCAGGCCGCACAGGAGGCAGCGCTTGTGGTGAGGCTCCCGAGAGGGGTTCCGGGGGAGGGATGACCCAACCTTCTCCCGCGTGGCGCCGTCCGTCAGCCGCGTCAGCGGGTACTTGGTGGCCGCTGCGGAGTCGAACACAACGAGGCCGACGCTGTGGCCGTCGGGGACGTCGTAGGTGACCACCTTGCGGACAGCCTTGCGGACGAACTCCCACCGTTTCTGTGGAAGCACATCAGAATGTCAACTCAAGTAAAGGGAGTGCGGGAGGAACTCAAGAGACCAATAGTAACAACAGTGCTGCGTCACGTGACCAACAGCGACTCTCACCTGCACGTTCATCACGTCTGTGTCGTCGATGAGCAGGACGATCCTGGGTGGCTGCGCGCGCACATAGCGGAAGGCAACGTCACTTTCCTCCAGCTTTCCTTCAGCGTTCCTGAGGAAGACAACACGATTGAACTAGACTGGTTATGGCGCAGGGTTAGGGTATGTGAGTGCTTGTGCCAGTTATGGTCGTTCACGAGTGAGCTTCCCGACTGCTATGCTTACCGGTTGTTCTGGAAGTCCGGACTCGCCCTCAGCACCTCCCACACGGAGATGCCGCCGCAGAGGAGGTTGTGGCGGGTGGGCGCCTCACGGGCGTGGCTGCCCTCGTCGCACAGCTGCGTCACCTGCGGAGGAGCGCTCGGTTAGAGGGGGGCTCAGGCTTTATCTTTTATTCAAATTATTTTCGACAGCGAAAGAGAAACAAAATGATACAGTTGTGACAACGAGCTTAAAAGCTAAAGATAAACTCTACGGCGGTGCGACGGCGATTTCAGAACTTGGGTGCCTGTCGTGTACCGTTGTGGATGAAATGAACTAATGATAATGTCGACACTGGCCTGATAGAAAAAAAAGCTTCCACTTACTGCAGGGTCATCGGGCAGACCCATCAAGGACGTGACTCCGTTGGGCACGCTGCGCTTCGCTCTCTCTGCCTCGCCTGCGTCCTCAGCCGCCGCTTGCTCCTCCGCTTCCTTCGTCAGGCTGAGCGGGCACGTGAGGTTGGCGGGGTCGCAGGCGGGGTTGGCGGCGACGGCGGGGAGGTTGGTGCACACGTTGGGCTTCCAGGCGCCGTCGGGGGCGCGGTAGTGCGGCGGGTGGGCGGCGCTGCCCTGGGCGCCCGCCTCGTCGAACACGCCGTAGCGGTACTCCAGCCACGCTCGAGCCAGCTGCCGACCTGGGGGGGAGGGGGGTTAGACAACTTTCTTGGATTGTTTTGGGGGAAAACACGTATTCAAAGTCAAATGAGTCTGACATTCGAAATGGTATCAATTCAGGAATTCTTTCCAGAATGACGGTTTGAGTGTCACCTCCGCCTCCGCCTGCCCTTCCTCCCCTCACCTTCCCACCTCCGCCTCCCCCCCTTTCCCTCCGCCTGCCCTTCCTCCCCCTCACCTTCCCACCTCCGCCCCCCCCTTCCCTCCGCCTGCCCCTCTCCCGCACCTCCACCCGGGGCCCTGTGACCTAATCACTCCTCTAATCATCCCATTTGTAGCCAGTAACAGGCAGCCACGCGACACCCGGGGACACGGGGGGGGGGGGTTGCCCTCCCTCTCTCCTCCCTTCCCACTATTCTCTTCGCCTTACACCATAGAGGTGAATGGGAGGAAGGGATATGCAATGAAGATGGAGAAGACAACTGGCGCAGACACATAAAGAAAGGGGAAAGGTTGGGGAAGAAAGGTATAAACAAAAATATTAAAGGAAAAGACACAACAGAGGAAGAAAAGTGTAAACAAAAGG